TCACAAATGAAGAATTTAAAACTTTGTTAAGTATAAAGAAAAAAATACTTTTACATTCAATCAATGCTAAGCGACAAGGCACTTTAGATTCATTTCTAAGATAGAATCGTTTATCTGAATACTGATAATAAAAATTTTTTCGCTCGATATAATGATATTTCACGTGACTCAAATATGACCTTCGTTATAACGAGATTTTTCGTTATAATGAACTTTCGATAATATGACCCTTTTGGTCCAGCCCGACGGCTTCATCTTATCGAGAGTGACTGTGTAATACACGTGTAATCGCGACAAAAATTTTCCTCTTCCTTTGCTGAAACGTCGAAACCGCGTCATTTGACTGTACCTACGTGATTTCGAGGACGGAAGCCATTTTCTCATCAGGAAAGTTGCAATCCATATCTTTAATCTTCTGGCACTCCACAGTGTCCAGCACCCGTACGCGCCTAGCTTAGCATTTGATGTTTTGCGACCCCTGCGGCTGTTGTTTAGGGCAAGCTTCGAGGGATACCCTCTTTGACCGTTTTTAACGACCTCTTAGTAGCCTACTCCTTCGTTCTTGCATCTAGTATACTGGCTTCCTACACCTGTATGTGCCGAGCTGAGCCCTAAGTGCATAGCGACCCCTGCAGCTGATGTTTGGTAGAGGAGATGCGGGATACTCTCTTTGACCGTTTTTAACGACCTCTTAGTAGCCTACTCTCGGTCTTCTTTACCAGAAGCACCATGTCACACTGATTCCTTTACTTTTTGTTTACACATGCCACTGTTAATATACTCGTCATGCTAACATTTCACTTTTTCCTTTTATTTTTTGTAGAATGAATTTTGAAACTTATATATCAACATATATGGATGTTGTTGATTACCCTGAATGGAGCCTGTTGGGACTTTTGCAGTACTTGGAAACAAGGGTTGAATACACAAGTGCTAGTCTGCAAGACATCATTAACATATTTATGGATCTTTTGGATGTCAAGTCAAAAAGCCGTTGCTATCTCAAATCAACAAGGAGAAGAGCTGAGAAGCTCTGTTCAACATTGAATATAACAAAAACTCGATCAGAGGTTCAGCGATTCCTCCAAAAACTGGATCTCAAGCATGCCCAGGTTACTGTCTAATATTTCTTCCACAAAATAGACTTACAGTCAATTACAATGGTATTAATCTGTATTTCATAGAGTTGTTATGCCACAGACATTGAATTGAATGTCACCATGGACAAATCTGCCACCATAGAACTGACTTCTGCAAATTATGTAGCGGTAATTATCATCATTATAATTTCATTGATCAACTGAGCATGCAGTTTTTACTTTATTATTTTTGACAGTCTGTACAGGAAAGGTTGCAATCTACTTCTGAGAGCCAGGTGCATGCCCATGATAATGAAGTTAGCAATAATAGTGTCACAGATGTAGATGACATGGATGTAGGCATATTGGTAAGGAGTAGAGTAATAAGTAATGAGAAATATTAGTATTATCAATCATGATGTGATTGCTGGTTTCATGAAGGGAAAATTGGAGCATGTGTATTTGCAATGATATATTTGTGATCTCTCTTGTAGGAGCCATCAACTCCATCTCCATTGCCAAAAAGGGCTATGGCCACAGAGACTTTATTGATCACTCCACAAAAACGACCATTGGAAAATGAGATAATTCAACGGTAGATAAATATGCTGCTTGTCCTATATTATTTGATGTGGTATTTGAGGAATCTTTAGTATCTTATTATTTGTTCTTGTTGTGTTGCAGATTTACAGACAATTTACCACTGATCTGTGCATTTGGCATGTCAAGTGAACAACTGGTGCCTCTTGTTGGATCTGAAATGGCACAACAAGCAAAGTATTTTCGGAGTCAACATCCATCTACATGGACACCAGCAATTAGAAACTACCTTGGTGATGCCTTCAAAGTAAGTGAATTTTCTAGATTTTTATAATGTGTCTGCCAGATACCTAAAACTTTTTGATCTCTACTACTACAGAAAGTGGGAAAACACTTCAA